CTGTAAGACTTCAATACATCAATTTTTATGATACATCTCGAATCTAGAACCTTGAAAACGGCGCACGTGTCAACACAAATCAAATCAAATTAAATAGGATAAAATTTAATCTTCAGCGAGGGTAGAGTCTTCTTTTCTTGGTATTAAAAAATCACGGCCAACTGAAGACTAGAAATGTAACCGCTAACACGAAGCTCCAGATGTAGTAAATCAAATCTTTAGGGAGTGTAGAGTTTCCTTTTCGTGGTTTGAAAAAATCACAGCCAACAAAAAAATAACACCAACACGAAGCCACAGATTTACTAGTAATGAATCAAATATTTAGCAAGAGTAGAGTTTTCTTTTCGTGGTTTAAAAATTTAAAATCACATCCAATTAAGGATGGATGAACGGCCAACACGAAACTTCAGACCAGCGCCTTGGTGGAGTGTCCGATAGAAGTGCCGGGCGGCTGGGTGGGAGGTGCTCCCAGGACGAAGTCACATCTCCCGTTGGCGGTTAGCGGCTGTACAGGTCTTCTCCTGGCTCCAGCCGCCCCATGACGCCGTCACGCGGTACGTACCCGCCACCAGCGGCCGCCAATAGTCACCGTCTCGCGCTGCGGGGAATTAAAGAAAAAAACTCAACTATCTACTAGCTGAACACAAGATAGTGGATTCCGCTTGAAAGCTTGATAACTGTAATATGCGTATACGTACATGCTGCCAGTAGTCACTGTCTCGCGCTGGAGGGAACAGAAAAAGGTTTCTAGATGAAGACATGGAAGAAAATACTGGATTCCGTTTGAAAGCTTAATCTTTGTCTGAACGGAACGTCGGACATGCTGCCAGTAGTCACCGTCAAGTACCGCATGGGGTAGGCAGGAAAGGTTTTCTATAGCTGAAGACATGGAAAATGATGGTGGATGTCGTCTGTAAGCTTCTGTGCCTTCACCGTAATAACATATCAATTTAAACCCTTCCTGTTATTACAGATATCCTGTAAGCCTATTCCGCACGCTTTCCTACGAATCCTCTTTCATTAGTTACTTTCTCTACAAGAGCATTTAACTATGAACAGAAGGAAAGAGAGAAAGAAGAGAAAGAGGGGTTAGCAAGAAATGGAGAAACAAAGAGAGAGGGAGGAAGAGAGAAAGACGAGGAAGAAACAGGCAGATTGACTGACCTGTTGTAAGGTCAAGGTTGATGCCCCTGACAGAGATGACGGCGTCTGCGATGCCGTTATTGTTCGCATCCCTCATGAACCCTTTGATGCCGCTGTGCACCTGTCAGCAAACAAACAAACACGATGCGGTTCAAAAAGAGACGCCTAGCGGCTGAATGAAATATCGAACAATGGATGACATCCTCTGCAGACTCCAAATCTAATGCGAGCACGACGAAAAAAAAAAGCAGGACCGAAAAAAACAAGGTTCCTACAATTTGAAATTTTCACTCAATCATTGTACAAATGGTTTNATTAAGTGGAAACATCACATATACACAGCCAGCAATC